GACAGCTCTCTGTCAGCGGGACGACTCTCCAAGGCCATTCTCAGGAAGCCTGAAGGAAAGCAAGCTGTGGACGGGGAGGAAGGGTGGTCTGGGAACAACGGGAGAGGGTGTTTGTCCTCGCTTTGTTCTCCATTTCATCACAGCTGTGCGGGAGGAAAGCAGGCAGGGCAGGGTGTGTGTGCATATGTGTGAGTGTGTGCGTGTGCATGTGCATACCTCAACCTTCATCTCCATCTCCATCTCTCCTGGGGGAAGCCAGATCCCCTACCTGTGAGCGGCCCTGTGGAGGGGCCCACATGGTGAGGACTTGACGCCTCCTGCCGCCAGCCACACACGGGAGATTACAGGTAGATCTCCAGCCCTGGGACGAGGTGGCCACAGCTGACATCCTCACTGACCCCACGAGAGCCCTGAGTCAGAGCTGCCCAGCCATGCTGCCCCTGGGCTCCTGACCCACAGAGACCAGAAAATAAACACTTACTGCAGTAGCTGCTCAGTGTCGGGGTCATTTGTCACCCAGCAGGAGAGAGACCCCTCCTCAGAGCCTCTCCGCTATCCCCCCGCTTGGCAGCTTTCACTCAGGGCCCCTGGAGCCGTCTCACGTCTGTTTACCATCTCTGCCTTTCTTGTTAGGAGGAAGCCCCCGTGATGACAGGGGATTTGTTAGGTTCACTGTAGGGTCCCCACATTCCAAGACAGTACAGAGGCTCCTTGACAAATGGCTGAGGTGCAGCAATGCGGCAAAGCAGCAGCCCCATCACTCTGACGTCCCATGTCTGAGAAGCCAGAATATGACAGGGAACAAGCACGAGCCCTAAGTCAGTCCTTCCTGGTCCCAGCCCCAAGCAGCATGAGTCACCCAACCTGTAGGAGCCTCGGTTTGCTAGTCTGTGGATCAAGGATGATAGTAACAGCGGGAAGTCAGGCCAGTGTGCACTGTGGAGGCTAGGTGCTCTGAGAGCCAGTGCTCCTGGGACAAAGAGGGAGCTTCCTGCTGTCCCCTATTATAGCACAATAGATAACTGAGCCTTCATGGGGCCTTCGGAGGGTGAAGGTACAACTGATCATGTTTTTCACTCTTATTTCACTTCTCTGGTGGACCCTGCAGGCTGATTCACTCAAAATGTGTGCCAAGCCCGTCCTTCTGTGCTTGGCTACATGGGAGTCTCTGGAAAAAACTGAAACCTGCATCTCCCTGACTCCCTTGCAGCCAGGGTTCTGCCAGTGGCCTCAGCTCCTCTGGACAGATGCCTGCCCGAGATTTAAAAGGTGGAAGTGAGCCCCCCAAGGTGGTGGAGGATGGGGCTCCTGGCTGGCAGGGGTCAGAGGGTCCGGTTCTCCCACAGCAGCATGCTCCAGTGTCTGGGCCTGAGCATCACAGGCAGTGGGGTTTCCACGGCAACAGTCGAGGGCGGGCTTACTGATTGTCCAGGTGACTGTTAGTGTTGTCCATGGCCATGGGGCATCCAAGCTTGGTCCCCTGGTGGTCCTGGCATCTCAGTCCTAGCACCCATGAACAGATTCCCCTCTGCTCGAACCATAAAGAATGGATTCTGTCGTCTTCAACTAATCACTGAGACTGGCACAAGTTCAGATTCTGAAATCACCTCTATTGTTTGTCTCGTGTAAAAAAAATACAGGAAAGTTTAAGAAAAATAAGTAAAAATCTTCTATAATCCCACTGCCTGGAAGTAATCACTGTAATATTTTTGCATGTTTCCTTCTGGACTTTGCCTTCTATCCATTTTGTTATATGGTCAAAAAGACGGTTTATGTCATCCTATGCCAGCTTTGCTCACTCAGCAGGGAGTGTAAAAGCGTCCCGGTCACCTTGTCCACGAGGCCTGCAGCAGCTTTCTAAACTAAGTCAGTTTCCTCTTTACCCACTCTTACTGTTTTTAAACCATGTTCTTGAGGTGTAATCGACATGCAAAAGCTGTGCAGATTTAACACACACAATTTGATGACTTTGGAGATGAGTGTTCATCTGTGAAAGCATCACCACCGTCTATGCCATGAACGTATCCATCACCTCCAGAAGTTTCCTCCACCCTTTTCATTTATTATTGTGTGTGTGTGTGATAAGAATATCTAACATAAGATTTACCCTCTGAGCAAAGTTTTAAATACAACACCCAGCACTACTACCCAGAGGCTCAGTAGCTCTCCAGGACATGCTCACCTTGAGTAACTGACACTGTACCCTTTGACTGACACCTCTCCATGTCCCCTTTCCCCAGCCCCTGGCAACCACCACTCTACTCTCTTCTGTAAGTCTGACTGTTTTAGATGCCTCAAGTAAGTGGTATTACGTAGTATTTCTCCTTCTATGTCTGCCTTCCTTCACTTAGCATAACGTCTTCTAGACTCACCCAGACTGTTAGAATGGCACGATTTCCTTCTTTTTTCAAGGATGAATAATATTCCATTATGTGTGGCTAGTGGCTACCATGTGGGAACTCACAGTTCTAAAAAACAAACTAAACATCAAGAACAATTGCCCCAGGACAAATTAAGACAAATATCAAACGATCTGCAACCCAGAACAAAATAGGGACATTAAAAAAGCCCTAAATATTAAGGACTGTGGGCCTTATTCTTTGTTCATCCAACAAGCATTTATTAACTACCTTCTATGAGCATGTCATGGGCCTCAACATCAGAGAGGACACAAACAGCCCGGGAGAGGAACATCATATTTCATTTACTAAGTACAGAATGAATTCAAGGCAACTCGAAATTAAACGTCAAATGGCGTAGAGAAGGCTAACTCCAGCCTCTAGTGGCTGTGCTTCAAAATTCCACTTGCAAGTCAAACACACTGCACATAAAATGCATTTCCCCACAGTGGCAGTTTGTAGAGCATGGTTAGGTGTTTAAATTGGCTCCTAAAAGTTGACTGGACTCATAATAAAACTGAAATATTACAGAGTTTCAATTTTAAGTCAAAAATCAAAACTAT